AGGGGCCTTGATCTGCACCCCCACTTGCCTTCCCCTCCCCCCCCTTCCACCACAACAGACTTACCAGCTGCACATAGCTGTTTTGGAAATCAAAGTGGTATTAGCTAATATGTCTCCTTAAAAATTGGCTATCAGTATCAGCCCCAAAAATCTCTATCAGTGCACCCCTAAAATACAGTCTTACTCTAGTATATTGTGGGGGGTAGGGAGGCAGTGTGTGTGTATGTGGCAGAGGGCAGGGGGGTGTGAGGAGCTGCCTAGTTGCTAGGTCCTGGGAGCTGGGCAAAGGTGGGGGGCTAGGGGCAGGTGCAGCAGAGCTCGGCCAGGTGGTGCAGATGCAGGTGTGGTCAGCTACTCCCAACCCCACATCCAGGCCACAGATGCCCCTGCGGTGCTCCACATGGGGCTGAGCCCTGCCTGCTCCTGCCTGGGGCAGCCCCCTCTGCACCTGCTGGCTCCAGCCAGCATGCACAGCTTCCCCAACATGCACAGCTTCCCGGCAGGGCTGCAGCTGTTTAGGTATTGCTTGGTCTCCCCCACACCTCCAGCAGCTCATCCTTCTTCTCCTGCCATGCACACACAGGGAAAGGAGAGTGGGGGGGAAGAGCTGCAGCCAGGAGGCTCCTGCCCCAGTGCACCTTCCACCCACTCTGCCTGCCCAGTGTGATGAGCAGACATGAGCAGCCACCTCTGGGCGGCCGAGTGGATAGAAGATGGCTGGGAGCTGGAGGTCAGCATGCTGGGGAAGGAGCTGCCTGGCGTGGCGCAGCAGGGGCAGGAGGAGGAACCACTGGAGGTGCGGGAGCAGTCCCGCCAGGAAACTGTGTGCTGGCTGGGGCTGGGGCCGTTGGCAGATGTAGGCTGCCCTGGGCAGGAGAACAAGTCGAGTCGGGCCCCATGTGGAGCGCTGCAGGGGCAGCCACAGGCTAGATCCAATCGACTGGCCGGCCGGCAGTTTGCCCACCCTGGTCAGGTTCCATCCTCTTTGTGATCACCCTGCGGGTAGCTGAAGGCTGCTATTAAATCCTCTCTCAATCTTCCCTTCTCCAGACTAAAATAAGGCCAGTGCCCTCAGCCTTTTCATAAGTCATGTCCCAGCCCCTGAGCCATTGTTGTTGCCCTCTGCTGGACTCTCTCCAATTTGTCCACATCCTTTCTATAGTGGGGGGGCCCAAAACTGGATATAGTGCTCCATATGTGGCCTCACCAGTGCCAAATAGAGAAGAATAATCACTTCCCTTGACCTGCTGGCAACACCCCTACCAGTGCAGCCCAGTACGCCGTTAGCCTTCTTTACAACAAGGGCACTCTGCTGGCTCATATCCAGCTTACTGTCCACTATTATCCATAGTCCACTGTAACGCCCAGGTCCTTTTCTGCAGAGCTGCTGCCCAGCCAGTCACCCCCGGCCTGTCCCGGTGCACGGGATTGCTCCGTCTTAAGTGCAGGACTTTGCACCTGTCCTTGTTGAACCCCATGAGATTCCTCTGGGCCCAGTCCTCCGGGTTGTCTTGGTCCCTCTGAACCCCAGCCCTGCCCTCCAGCGTATCCACTACTCCCCCCACTTGGTGTCATCCGCAGACTTGTCTTTCTCGCCTCCGCACGGCGGCGGAGCTCCCCGGGACGCCCCGCGCACGGCAGGCGGCCCCTGGGACGGGAGCGCCGAGCGCGGCCGGGTCTCAACGCGCCTCACCTCGAGGTCCTTCCTGATGCTCTCGAATTCCTCGATGTCGTCCAGCTTCAGCTCCAAGCGCGTCGGCTTCCGCCGCAGCATCGCGAGCGCCGGCCTCTCCCCGGTAACCGGACAGCCCGGCCCCGACCGCTGCCGCAGACCCGCCCACTTCCGGCCAGCGCCTCCCGGCATACCCTGTACTCACTTCCGGCCGGCACCTCCCGGCATGCCCCGCGCGGCAACCCGGAACCAGTTGGGTGAAGACAGCCCCGTATTGCGGAGAGTCCCTGCAGCGGCCGGTGTTGCCGTCACCATGGCGTCCGCGCGGGGCCCTGCGGTGCGGGTGAAGCGGGGCTCGGGGATCGGGGCGCGGTTGGGGCGGGGCCGGGGCCGGGCCGGGCTATGCGATGCGGGGTCTCTCGTTGGGTGCACCGGGCCCAGAGCGGGGGGAGGGACTTGGCGTTTCTCCTTGTCCCTAATTGCGGGCGGCGCGGGCCCACCCCGTGAAATCTGCTTCTCGCCCGGGTCTGCCCGGCGTCGGCTCCCCGAGGTCGTGGAAGGGATCTGAATGCCCCCGGCAGGGACATGGTCCCTGGTTGAGAATCACCGCAGCGGAGGGGTGCACGGGAGTGCTGCGTAACACCGGTGGTTGTGAACACGTCGATCAGTTGTATCCCTGCAGCAGGTTTTAAGACTCAGGTAGACAAAGGGTTGGCTGGGATGATCCAGTTGAGGGGGGTCCTGCTTCAGGCAGGGGGCTGGACTGGATAAAATCGGAAAACGAGGGTTGGAGGGGACCTCAGGAGGTCACATCTAGTCCAACCCTCTGCTCAAAGCAGGACCATCTCCAACCCTACCGTCCCAGCCAAGGCTTTGTCTACCTGGGTCTTAGAAACCTCTAAGGATGCAGACAACGTCTCTGTGTAACCTGAGGCCTGTTCCAACCCTCGTTTTGTATGACTTTAGACTTAAAGTTGAAACATCCCATTATAAATCTGGGATCATACCCTGGCAGCATTGCAGTTGCTGGGAAATTTGCTAGTAACTTACAACAGGGTTGGATTTTTGTGCCTTTATTTTTTACTTGCTGCCCAACCTTGCGTTTACTCCCTAAAAGTTGAAGGGATATGTGCTGTTGTTAAGCACAAATTGATATGAGTGCATCGGAAAGCAAGTCTGGGATATATTTTTACACATCGTAAAGAGGCATAAAGGATTACAAAGAAATCCCTGCCTGGTTTCCTTAAGCATAATTTGTGTTGAGGAATCCCTTCCCTGTTCAGAGCTAATGTTTTAGGTATAATTTCAGGGTTTCTGGTCTGGGTAGACTACTGACTTTCTCTTGCAGGAGAATGATTTGTGCAGCCAAAGCAGTTTGCTGAATTGCTGCTCCCAAGCCGGATACATACTGAACCAGTCTGTTAAAATCTTGCTTTTATTTTGCAGGCAACAAAAACCAAGATCTCAGACGAGAGTGATGCTCCCCCAGTCAAGAGACCTCATATCTTCTATGGAAGTTTGGAGGAGAAGGAAAGGGAGCGTATTGCCAAAGGGGAGCTGGGGCTGCTAGGAAAAGATGGGATGAAAGCTGCAATTCAGGCTGGCAACATTAACATTAGCAGTGGTAAGAACACACTCTGTATAGTGCTTTCAGCTTCTTTTCTTGCTTCTGGCTTAGAGGTATTTAAAAAGACATTTTTGTTGGGGTTCAACTCAGGGCTTTAGGATGGCCCCTGATCTGCTGCTGTGTTTTAATACAGAAATTTCGGCTGCAGAGACTACAAGCCGTCCAGTATTCCATCGTGATTTGAATGGGGGTGGGAAGTCCATTGCCAGCACTGACTGTCCCTACCCTAAATGGGCAAAAATATTTATAGCTTTTAATGGTTATAGTTGTCTAAATCTCTGGTGCAGTTGTCATTGCTTCAATTTGATGGCTTTGTTTCTGGCATAGGTGAGGTCTTCGATCTTGAAGACCATATGAGTGAGCGCCAGGCAGAAGTGTTGGCTGAATTTGAGCGCAGGAAGCGTGCTAGGCAAATCAATGTTTCCACCGATGACTCTGAAGTCAAGGCCTGCTTACGAGCTCTTGGGGAGCCCATCACACTCTTTGGAGAAGGGCCTGCAGAAAGAAGAGAAAGGTGCTGCGTCTTGTCCTTTGTGTGGCCTGCCCTGTAACCAAATCATAAATCTCTTGTAAAACTCCTTGAGCTGTTGAGTGCACTGAATGCTGTTGCCCACTGTTCCTTCTCAGTGATATAACAGCAATTGATCAATTTCTTCTTCATTCACTCTTTACATCTGTCAGACATGGTCAAGAATGCCTGAGAAGTTATTGACTGAATCTTATTTAATGCTTGGTGTGTTTCATTGCAGATTGAGAAATATCCTCTCAGTGGTTGGCACTGATGCCTTAAAAAAAACGAAGAAAGATGACGACAAGTCTAAGAAAGCCAAAGAAGAGGTAAACATCTCTCCCTTTCTTGGATTCTGCAGGTTATTAATGTAGAGAGAAGGGGACCATTTTATAGAAACCTTCAAATTCCTTCATGGACCATCTGTAACATTTCCAGAGCTCTGACATTGATTTTTTTTTATCATTAGACAGCCTGATAATGTGAGGTGGACTTATCAGTATACGACTTATGCATAGGACAGTGACATCCTAAGGCAGGGGTGGGCAAAATGGTGGATCTGGCTAGTGGTCAGACTTCTTTTCCCAGCAGCCCCTGTCCATGTTGCTACAGCCGTTTTCCATGGATATCTCAGAAGTGGTGGCACTGTGACAGCGCGGGGCCAGGGTTTCCATGGAGACTGGCCCCAGCAGTGCTGGTAGGGCAGGGAGCTGCTCCGCAGCCAGGGCTGGGATCTTGCAGTGATGACAGTGTGGTCTGGAGCTGGAGCAGAGCCACAATCCATTGCACGTATGCCCCTGCCTGGGACTTGCAGGCAATGTTCCCTCTAAGGAGCAGCTGTCCATGAGCGTGCTGCCTCGGTCCAGTATGGGACACTTACCAAAGGGGGCTGGGGGCTAGGGCCGGAGGCTGGAGCTGGAAGCCGGGAGCCAGGGGCTGGGACCAGGGGCTGGAGCTGGGGCCGGTGGCTGGGGCCCAGGACCTGGGGGCCAGAGGCTGGAGCCGGGGGCCAGGGGCTGGGCCAGAGGCTGGAGCTGGGAGCCGGATACATTCCCTTTTCCCTGTGGCAGGCATTGACTGAGGCTGTAAAATCCTTCCCATTCTCTACCAAGCTTTAGAGCTTGCCTTGCATCAAAAGTGTGGAAACATTTATTATCCCCAGAACTGGCCAACAAAAACTGATCTCCAGATCTGACTAATAATGACAATGTAATCACTAACATATCATATGCAATGTTCCCTCTAAGGAGCAGCGGTCCATGAGCGCGCTGCCTTGGTCTGTGAGTGTGCCCCCTCGGTCCGGCACTGGACACTTACTGAAGGGGGCCGGGGGCTGGAGCTGGGGGCTGAGGCTGGATGCTGGGGGCCGAAGGCTGGAGCAGGGACTGGGGCCAGGGACTGGTGACTGGGGCCAGGAGCTGGGGCCAGGGGCTGAGCCTGGTGCGGACTCCCTGGCCCCGGGGAAGTGCTTCGCTCCCCTGCATCAGGGCCGGGGAGTGGAGCACTTCCCCGGAGCCGGCGGAGCCCGCACCAGTCCCCCACCCCAGCCTCCATCGCTGCCTTGCCTCACCTTAGGGAGGAGCCACTGCCTGCCCTGAGTGAGGCTCCGCAGGCTCCCGGCTCACAGCTCCAGCCTCTGGCCCAGCCCCTGGCCCCCGGCTCCCAGCTCCAGCCTCTGGCCCAGCCCCTGGCCCCCGGCTCCCAGCTCCAGCCTCTGGCCTAGCCCCTGGGCCCTAGCTCCAGCCTCTGGCCCCCAGCTCCTGGGCCCCAGCCACCGGCCCCAGGTCCCGGGCCCCAGCCTCTGGGACGTGCTAGGCTCCCGCCCCAGCCTCTCCCAGTGCGCAGCCTTGAAAAGGCTGTCCGCGGCCACACTTTTAGTTGTGCACATGCACGCACCTTAGAGGGAACCTTGCTTGCAGGTAGCGGATCACAGCTCTGCCTCTGCTTTGGACCATGCTGTCTCTGCTGCAAAATCCCAGCCCCAAAGCAGCTTCCCACCACCGCACCTTGGGCCCTGCCAGCCCTGGTAGAGCCAGTCTCTATGGAAACTCTGGTGCTGCACTGTCACAGTGCCCCTGCTGCTGGGGTCTCCATGGAAACCGGCCACAGCAATACAGGCGGGGTTGCTGGGAAATGGAGTCTGCTGCAGGCTGGACTTTGACTGCTCTTGTCCTAAGATGTTCTTGAATTTGTTTGGTTTGTTTTCTTTTTTTTAGTATCAGCAAACCTGGTACCATGAAGGGCCAAGCAGTCTGAAAACAGCTAGATTGTGGATCGCCAACTACTCACTCCCCAGGTAAAGAAAGGGGCTGTAAAGCAAGCAAAATGAAAGGAGGTGCAAGCTTTTCTGAAGAGCAATGAACTCAGTAGATGATGGGCAGTGCAGGCGTTTGAGGTTCAGGATAAGAGGCAACACTGGACATGCAACAAAGGCTAGAGCCGAGTGTAACTGTACTTGGAGGTTGTGCGCTTAATTTGAGTCTTGCCACAGAGTTTTGCTGGCAGAACTCCAGCTCACACTCAATACCTCTCTGCAGTGGCAGAACCTTTTTGTCTGTTGGTAGAATCATTTCACCTCTGCAAAATGGAGTAAGGCTTTTGCTGACACCCAGCAGCCAGCTGAAGAGGTTACAGACACCAGTGTGCTTTTAGCTGCAGTTTAGTCAGCAGCTAGTGTCTTTCCACTGGACACTTCATGCTCCAGCAGCCCAGGTGCAGAGCTACCAGTAGCAGATTGGTGTGCACATGCTCTGGTGGTTCAGCACTAGCAGCAGAGACGAAGGAGTGTAGATATAGCCTGAATAGTGGTTGTAAGACTCCAGCTCTGGGACAGAAGGGAAGGTAAAGGATCTGTTCCCTGCCCTACAGCAGGGAAGTGCAGGGATTCATCATTATAATTTTGTTTCTGCCACAGGGCAGTGAAGCGGTTGGAAGAAGCCCGACTGCTCAAAGAAATTCCCGAGGCTACGAGGACATCCCAGAGGCAAGAACTGCACAAGTCCCTAAGGGTAGGCGTGGTTTCATCTCAGCTACTCTCTTGTGATAAGACATCAGCAAGAGGTTAAGAGAACAGAACGCAGAGGCCTAGACTAATCTCCCAGTACACATTATTCTTCCTTCCATGCATGTTGTGCTTTCACTGTGTTCTGCCTGTCCTCCCTTTTTTATCATCAGGCTTGTCAGTGGTTTGAGAGCAGGACTTGGCTTTAAATACTCTGCCTGCAGGACAAAGAACTGCAGAGACAGTTGCGCACAGCTGCATCTATTTCATTTGATGATAAAGAAATCCTCTCACCCTATGGATTTGTCATGTTCTCATTCACTGAGGCAGAGTGATTGTGTCCATTTTTTTCTCTCACTCACTGCCTTGACAGCTGGAAGCCTTAAAGCAGTGGAATTAAGATGACCAACGCAGCCACAAAATTAATGCTTCAGCTGTGACTCTTGAGAAGCCCCTTTCCCTGTTGTTAAGGTAGATCAGGCAGCTAATTCAGAGCTTGGCTGAACAGAGGTAATTGTGCCATAGGGCTAAATATTCTGGACACAACACCTTTGGAAGGGAGACAGCTCTTGGAAGTGTTGGCTCTATCCAGAGAACATCCTGTCACTCTCGCAAAAAAGTTCAACTCTAATTGTACCATTCAGAGTGGTATAAAGGCAAAGAGAGGCCCAGACCACTTGGGGCTTTCTGGATCAGAACCAGCATGCTGATGTGCACCTGCAAGCCTCTAAATAGCTGGCGTGAGGCTCACTGCTAGCTTAGCACTCTCAGGTCTGCTGCACAGTCAGTCTTGCTCTAGAATAACAGTTCTCTCTGGTAAGTGATTTTCTGAAGGCCTCAGTTTTTTCTGTGTAGATTTGTCTCCTTATCTACCTCCCAGAAGTAGAGTTTCTCTTACTGCTTCATGCTTTAGTCATTGATCCTGGCTTTTGTGTTTGGTTTCAGTCATTGAATAATTTCTGCAGTCAGATTGGAGATGATCGCCCCATCTCTTACTGCCATTTCAGTCCCAATTCCAAACTCCTGGCTACTGCTTGTTGGTAAGTTTCCTTTTACAACGTTTCCTATGGGGACAAAGTGGGGAGGAGAATACGAGTGGTCCTATGACAGGGTGGGCAAAATCAGACCCGTGGACTGAATGCAGCCTGCCAGTTGTTTATATTTGGCCCACAACTACACCTAAAGCACTCCACATGGGTCTGAGACCTGCCCAGAGCAGTCCTCACCAGGCATCTGCCCTATTCCTGGTGACAG